CATGCAGCAAAGGGCCACAGGCCAGAATCAAACCCAGGTGGCTAAGATAAGAACTCAGCCTTTGATATGGGGTGCATGCTAAACATACTTCTGGGTTTCTGAACTAAAGGAACAAGTTGAATGTACTGAATGTACTCAATGAAAAAGATATCAGTCTAACCAGTAGCAACTACATGCTCAGAGGTGAGGAAGCAGCTGGGTGTTTTCTCAATAACCTCAATAACCACCCTGACCACACCCAGCTGTGATCATGGGGAGTGCAGGTTCATCAGACTTATATCTTGCAACCCATTAAAGTTCAGTGATTAGCACAAGGCCCATTTCTAACCTACATATATAACAAATAGGATTGTAACTTTACTTTTAAAATAACTCACAAGACAAGAGCTTGAAAGAGTGAGGCTTCAATTATATGGTGAGATGAATCTTAATTTGCAAATTTTAATGGAAACATGGAGTGTTGCAGACGTTACCCTGTAGACAGACTCCTCATTAGGCTGTACTATGCAGCAGCCAGAGCACATTAGTTGGCTGAGAGAAGGCAAATTGATTTAAGAATCCTTCAGCCTTACAGAACCTAATTTGCACTATAAAAGGTAAATGAAATTCACTCTGAATTATGCATGTCAGAGGTGTAGCAGCATTCATCTCAAAATGCACACATCCATATTGCACATAAAAAAACACACTTATCCATACATGTTGGAGAAAGCATAAGAACATAAACCAGTGTTCACACTCAGAGATAAGCTCCAAATCCAAAACTCTGATGATGAATTACAAGTGTCTGAGATAACAACATAGTTTACTCACCAGAGGGAACTCATGGGAGACCCTCCCATCAGGGGGGAGCTTAGCACCGAATCCCAGGGCAGGGAACATCTTATCACTGTCGTAGTCCTGGATGATCTCTCCCACGGCCTTCAGGGCCATGGCATAGGCATTCATCTGGTACGGGTTCATGTAGTGCAGTGAGGTGGACTGAGATGGATTTCCTTCCAAGACAAAAGAAGTCAGAGTCAGTGATGCAAACCATCAGACGGACACCGAACTGACAACTGCAACCAGAGAAATATGAAATACGTTCTGATTCAGAGGTGAAACTCGATGTAACTCGATATTATTAGCAATACTTGTATTTATAGATTCCTATTTATGTTTTTGAAGTTACAGTAACATTGTGATCGATTCCCTTTTATACTGAAATAAATCAGTAACAGTCAAAATATCACATGTAGTTAAATAAAATACCTTCAGAATGATCACACTGCAAGGTTTTAATGCACATACAAGCTTTAATGGTTGGTTATTTGCAGCAGTATTCAGATATTTAATTTATTAAAAGGTTAGTATAGTATATAATATTTGATTCTAATTATTGATTAATTAACACGTAAGCATAATTTTATGTTGCAGCAGGTAAAGGTGGGGCTAATTATAACTACTTAGTATGCTGTTGGGTATCTGGAATTTTTATTAGTAGTAATTTATAATATTTTGTATCAATAATCTATATCTGCAAAGTAACTAGTGACTAAAGCTCTCAGGTAAATGTAGTGCAATATTTATAGAAGTATAAAGTAGCATAAAATAGTAAATAAAGTAAATTGAACGTAGTTAGATTCCACCACTGCATATTAGCACAAAACCTTTAAATAGATATATATTACATTCAGAAATGTGTTCCTGACTTCTGATTTTAGGGTTGGATGTTTTGTTTAAGAGTCAGGGCAAGTCATTAGTGAAATATAGAGAGGGAGCATGGAAATAGATGTTAATGTTTTTCTTCGCATTTATTTAAATGTTCTTTTACAGCTCTACATTTGTACATCTGCTCATGAATATACCACCTTATTTGTATTATTTGTTGTTTGTACTAGACAGAGCATTTCATTTTAACTTTCCTTAATGCAGTTTATAATCAGGGCTCTCTCTCTCTCTCTCTCTCTGTCCACAAGTAATTGCATGTAAATGACTTAGTTTACCATATGAGCACTTTAAGAAAAACGTTTAACAAGAAAATAGGTTATTATTACAAGCAGGGAGAAAACTCCAGCCCCCTCTTTGATTCATGGGGAATGCCACAGTCATACATCAGAGGACGGAAATGGAAGCAGAGCAGGGCGATGGTAGTCAAAACACTCACCATTTGATGCAGTGAAATCAATGGCCACTGTGAAGTGAATCTGAGTCCTGAAACAGATGAATGGGGGAGAGGATGCTGTTAACAAAAGAGAGGCAGGAAAACTCAGCGTTGCAGTTTAATGAGGCTCTCCCAGGTCTGACTCTGCTCTACCTCCTATCTGAGAAGAGGTGTGACAAACGAAACCCAAAACAGCACTGATAATACACCTTTACTGTCTCTGCAACATTGGATCTATTAAGGTTTTTATGAAACGGAGAGAGCATACATTTGCTTAGGTTCAAACAGCATCCTAAGCACTGTTTTGATCTTTAAATAAAACATCGTATTTAATGATTTAACAGCACAGCGACCAAACCACAAACACATCCCACAGAAACCGAGAAAAACTGCTGAAGGCAGAGTCATTTCTCAAATGGTCTCCGCAAACACATAATGAGTTGCTGCAGCTGGCTTAACGATTAGACTGAACATCACACTGAGGAAAAATATAATTATTAACAAGGCAAAAGATTTGTAAAAAATAAATAAAATTAAAAATCCCAATTGCTCACTGGCTGTTTTGACAATTTCCCTTGTTTTTTCAAGATATATGAACATTTACACAATCCTGTATACTGTGCACCCGATCATCCATTATAGTCACCATCATAACCGTGATCATCATTGTAATCACCATTATTGTCTTCGTTCTACTCAGTCGCTATTGTATGATCAATTGAAAATTTGAGCTCTTCCATTCACTGCATCAATCTGAACAAAATGTCCAAAAACTACTGAATATTTTTTTATTCATGAGCCTGTAATGATAGCCAAAACCTTGAAAAGAAACTAAACAGAGCCTAACTAGTCTCTGCTGGATTTTCACGTTTCCCCAGAGAGACAAACGAAGAGTGAAGGGAAGGGGAGCTTAGATCAAAGTGTGTGCTCTTTCATTGTGATTACCACTGATTGCCTTTTCCTGACTTCTCCTCCATTCAGAAATTCCCACAAGCATAGTATCGGAGATAATGGCGGCTTCCTCCTGGGGAGACTCTGACCCCAGCTCATTAATCAGCATTGAGCCGGACCGCTCAGCTGACAGAGGGGAATTGTTACACTGGCATACTGCCTCAATTTTGAAGTCTCTGCTGATTTCTATGGTTAGTTTTGAATGTTTGACCAGAAAGGCAAAGCAGTGAGTTAGAGTTAAGGCAGAGTGCAAGACAGTAGAAATAGTCACACAGGAACTGTCAGTGAAACTGCCAATTTGATCATCAGAGCATTACCTGGGACTTTATCCTCAGTCAGTAGTTGTTAAACTCTACAGGGACTGGAAGTACCAACAAGACCTATTACTTCTTTTATCAGTTTATATGGACACAAGTGTTGCATTTATAGCATTAAGAGCTTAAACCCATCGACAACCCACAATCATTTTGTAAATATAAACACTAATAAGATACACAAATACGTGTAACATAAAGAGCTTGAACACATTAATGATGGAAGTATCTAAGAGTCGTAGTCCTGTTAACTAATCTATAATTTAACAAGCTGATATTTCTGGGTCCAGCTTCTAAATTGTGGTATTTTGACGATTTTCTCTGTAATAAACTGAACATCTTTTCAAATTTGTTTTGGACTATTTGTTGGACAAAAACAATATGTACGTAATCATGGGCATTTCTCACCACTTCCTCACTCTTTAAAAAGACCAAATACAAATGAAAGCTATTTAATATTCACCACATGCCTGATCAGCTCTACTTCAATTTGGATATAAAATGATATAATCCAGAGTATTAGGAAATAACGTCCATATTATTGGGCAATGCCACACCTCCAGATTTACATCCAATGCCAACTTTCAGTGCTAATGCAAGAAGTTTTCTTTTTGTAGCGAGGATATAAAATAACATAAAACCAAGTTTTTTAGTTGCTTAACCCATACCATAGAGTCTCATGGTAGTGCAGGCAGACACAGAAGTCATTTTATAATCACAAGTTCCATACACCCTCCAGTCATTATATCCACAACGTCTCACAATAGGCGTTTTTATAAATATTTGGCACTCAGTCATGCACACAACGGCACTAAGGTTTGTATCCTCGCTGCTACACTGCTGCCTGCTTTTACAAATCTAACTCCCTGTGTGGTACATTATTGTTTTCTACATCTTTCCCTGACTGTAACCATACCGGTGTCTTCCAGGAAAAAATTAAAACCCCTCTGACTTTTGGTGTAACAACTGCTCTGTACCCAAGGTAGATATTCCTTGTTTTCCTTTTAGGACTAGGGTTTGGACTAATTTACAGTTAGTAGAGTAGCCTCCACCCTACTTTCCCTCTATCCCACTCTGTACAATAGTTATCAACAAGGAATCACTGGATGAACAGGTTCAGAAATCAGTGTCTGTGTCCTTTTCTATTGAAGAAAGGTACTTAAAAACAAACAGGCCAACAGACCATGGACTCCTCTGGGGATCGGTTTTTGCTGCTGTCTGTCTGTGGCTTGTTGCAGGAAGGAGTTATATCGGCCATCACACATTATGTCTGTGTTCAGTTGACTGGCTTGCAGTGCTTGTTATTTGTTTATTTCACTTGTGACGCACAGTGGGGATTTGTTGAAGAGCTGGGCTGACAAATTATTTTGAGACTAAAAAAATCAATATAGATTGATGTTGACTGATGGTGCAGAATTGTCTGTTTTGTAGGTCTTCTTGCAAAGAACCACTGGCTGGTCTGCAGTTTCTAATTTTATCCCTCCAATCCTCACATCTATAGTCCTTGAGAACAGGTAATCCTTCAGTCATATTTCATTTTTTCTTCATCTTTGAGTGATGTATTGCTATGTGGACAAATTAATATACCATCACTTTTTCATACGGAGTTCATAAATCTGACACCAGCCTTTAAATGGCCTCTTCAAACATGATTCAGTGCAAATCAGAACAGGAAGTCCAATAATTCCCTATGGGCTTCACTCTGTCCTTTCATGTTATCACTAACTCGCTCAGCATCTCCTCTTCCCTCAGTTTTGTTTTCAGCTTAAATGACAGCTCCTCAGCCAGCGTTTGTATCACCTTGAATCACAAACAAACGTATCGGTGTCATATTGACTTTCCCCTTCCAGTTAGACAAACACCATATGGCAGGAGCCTTTGTAATGTGAAGTCCCTGCAGTCTTGGCAATCTGGATTGGGTGGGATATCGCATTAAATGTAAGACAAAGAATGCAGCTACAGTACACCTACAAAGTCATCAGTATGTGCTGGAAACTGGCCAACACAGACTACATCAATGAGCAGATTGCCACAGTGTGTCTCTTCCATAATGAAATGCTATAAAAAAACAGCAGTGCTATGTAAGGTTAATGATTAATATATATTATTATTTCTCTAACCTTACTTAAAGTAATTTTTGGTTTCCTTGATAAAGGCATGATAATTTCTGATGGACATTTTTACTACGAAGCGCACTTGTCTGTCTGTTTGCTGCCTTATCTCTGGCTAATGCTCAATTCTAACATCTTTTTAAGAGAGTAATAACTGTGGGCCTAGATCAAAATACAGTTTAAATTGCTTTATTTAACCAACACAAGTAAAACAGTGTACACAAAACTGAAAGTACTTTTTTCAGCCCTGTGTAACGTCTGCAAGTATTCCCTTTAAGGCTGCATACAGCCCCAACAACTACCGCCAAAAGTAAGGCAGCCTGCATGTAGCCTGAGAGGTGAAAAACAGAGCAAAGAAAGTCTGTCAGGTACTCACCACTACTCATTAAGATTAGTTTCTGTAAGCACATTGTAATATAACTGAAGTCTACGATGAAAAAAGGCTCAGATATCAATATTTTTAGTAACTCATAACATCTCTCATCTGGACTTTGGTGACTGGACAGTAACAGAGATAATATTAAAATCAACCTCTAAAAGAGGGGGTTGGAAAGTGGGATTTAGAAAAATGACGAGGGCATGCCCCCCCATCCCCAGCGGAAATTACACCTTTGAATATTTAGTATGAGGCAATAAAAGTGGCAGTAAACCAAAGTAAAAGAAAGGTCAGAGAGGTTGACAGTGGCAAAACTCAGATAGCAGATAACTGCCATGACAGTTTCTAGTTGTGAAACAGTGATTCCCTGGACAAAAACAAACACAAGTGTGTACATAAATCTAAAGCAAAGTGCTCTGCTACTGCTTCTCTATAAACTCAAACATGAACAGGACCAACGGTGGCCACGATGTCAGAATACAGAAAACAGCACGGAACCTAGCGGTCCAGCACACAGTAACTGAAATCTTTTAACATCAATATCACCTCTTTCTTGTATTTCTGTGAGGTAAACAGATAGCAAACCACTGCGCCTGCATTAAAATCTAACCTGGCAGAAGAATGACTGTCACAGCTGAGAAATATCTCCCTATTTTCAAGAATCAGTAAAAGACAAAGAAAACAAGATTTAAAAAAAAAATTAAGCTAAATGAATAGAAAAAAATAACAGTATCAATTTCTCCCATTTCAGGACAACAGGATATTTTGGGATGAAACTATTAAAACTTAATAAGATCTCCACACAATAGAGGCTCCATACAAGGCCGATCTCACTGTGGATTTTAATTTTAAAAGAAACATTTCAGCGTGTGATGAAAAGAATATGAATCTTTCATTAGCCTCTCAGAATCAGCGCAGTATGTGGCTTTTGGACTTTAATTACCTCTATTTGACTGTATCTCTGCCCCAATTGAACGTTAATGAAAATTTATGACAAACCAATTCACTGTGAAACCAGTCAGGATGTGATGGTGTGTCTGGAGAAGAAATTGCTTTTTTACCATCCGCTTCAAAAAACCATCATGTAAGTTATGACTTATTAGAAAGGGAGCAGTAAAGCAAACACATATGAAAGGAATCAATAGCACAAATCTAAGACTCATACAGCCTGATGCAGGCTTCTGCTTATATTTCTCATCATCTTTCTGAATGGCAGGGTTGTCAGGTACTTTTTTTCAGTTGCTTTTTATACATTTGTATGAGTTGAAGAAAAGTAATTTCTTCCACCCAGCTACAGT